TACTCCTATGGGCTTTGATCCCAAAGCCTGAATCACAAGCCTGTCACCTCCTGACCAACATTCCCTTTCTTTGACTCACTGAACTGAACGAAGACCAGTTTAACAGACCAGAATAGCTGAAGGAACGCAGGCGTGTGAGACAAGGCCAGGCAGACACCCACCTGCCCACCCTTGCCTGCAGGCAGCCTCCCCTTGCCAGAGAGAGGAGCCTGGCTGCATTTGAACTCAGCCCCGCAGGAGGGGGAGAAAATCAGAGGTGAGGGGGCAAGGAAGACCATCTCGGCGGCTGCAATACCAGCTTGGCTATAGGGAGGGCTTCCAACAGAGCCGAAACGTCTTCTGCAGAAGACCCACATCTGCTTCCTCCTGGGATAGGCAACATGTCTCATTTCGTTCCATGGTTGCCGCTGGTCCAACAGGTCTGACAAGACTGGGAAGGTTTCTCCTGGGGAATTTTATTTAGTTTGTATTTTGGGAAGAGTTTCAAAACTCTTTCAAACCCGTCTGACTGCATTGGGGCATGCCTCTTTATAAAGGATCAAGAGGGTGGGGACCCACTTTGCTACTGAACTGGGTTGTTCTGGCTTGAAGGAAATTCAGGCTCCCGTGTGTGTGTGTTAGTGGAAAAAGAGAGAGAGAGAGAGAGATCTCCTTTAGACACCTTGGCTTCAATTCTCATAAACCCCCAGCAGGGGTGTCCTCAGGTAGGGTCAAAAAAGTCAAGATGGCAGATACAAAGCTGCTGTCAAAACTCCCCCTGGTTTTTATGGGCATCGTTGAAAAAAATAAGTCTTGGGAGAAGGCAATGGGAACCCCTTTGGGTACTGCTACCAAGGTCCACAGGAAGGAGCAGCACCAAAATGACCTTGGCCGAAGCTGAAACAGCTCAGCAGGACTGGATGGAAGTAGTTCTTGGATGGGAGATCACCAGGATGTATTTAGAGAACTTTGGGATCTTTGTTTAGCATAGGAAAGGACAGAGAGGAACTTGGATAGGCTTTCAAGATTCTGTTACTATACCTTACAACTGTGTTTCTCAACCTTAGCAACTTTAAGATGTGTGGACTTCAACTCCCAGAATATGGCTGGCTGGGGAATTCTGGGAGTTGAAGTCCACACATCTTAAAGTTGCTAAGGTTGAGAAACACTGCCTTATAACAATAACGTAGCATTCCTGGAACCCCTATAGTATCTGTTTCTTGACTTGGCCTTCCTCAAAGGACTGTCACAGAGAATCCCAGGGCTGTGGACCAGACTGGAAGTTGCAGAAAACATCTTGGGAGAAGGCAACAGGAAGCCACTTTCATAGGACTTCCGAGAAAACCGCATGGTCCATGGTCATGAAATCCTCAACAGTGGAGTTCCATTTGAAAGAGATCTGACATTTTTCTTCTAACGCAGAAGGGACACAGGAGTATTGTGATTCAATATTCTCAGATAGGAATAGTGATCACTCAGTCCTAGGCACGCAAGCCCTATCAGGCTCAATGGGGCTTTGTCTCAAGCCTACATACTCAACGTTGTGGTCTTACGAGGCTTCTTACCACTACAAAGAGGGTCCTGAGGAAGGCGAATAAGGAACGTCCCCCAACCACAACCATCCTCCAGGGCTGTTTCCTGTTCTCTGGGCATCTGCTGAGAGCTCCCTACAATTGCCAGATCATTAAAAAGCAGGGAGGGGGGGGAGCTGTGGTCAAACCCGGAACCCACAGTAGCCAGCATCAGTTGCATCAGTGGCTCGTTTTCAGCCCAAAGGGCAGCAGCTGGGAAATGGGTAGGAAGGAAGAATGCCCTTGGTCATTCAAGCTGTGGGCAAGGAAAGAAGGCCAGCAGAGCCAGGTGGATCAGGAATTGGGAGTGGGCAGAACGGGCCAGGAGAGATTTAGTCTTTAATCCAGTGGAATGGTAGCCAAGAACATTAAGTTAAGTAAGATCTGGGGTTCTCCTCCATTGATTGGCACAAGTAGTCAAGGTAAGACCCAGGACAAGTCATTAAAACTCTAGTTAAGTCTTTAAACATTAACAGAAATGATAAATAGAGTCCCAGAATACCTGCTTTTGGGGGAAAATTGGTCGTCCTGCTTCTGGTGGAACTCAGGTTCTTGGGCAGAGAACAGGTGAGACATAAGATATGAAGGAGTGAACCCTAGATAACTGAATGGCTGGAGGATCTTTTATGCCACCCAACCCTGGCGAGGGGTGTCATGGCATGGACTCCTGCCAAGATTGAATTTGGCTCTGGGACTGGCAGTTTTATTAAGGGAGAGGACCGAATCTTGCAGAATGAAGGGGAAAGGGGAAACGGAACGCATCTCTCAACATACACAAAGAGATTTCTTTCAGGAGGGACTAACCAAGACACCACTGGAATTTGAAGGAAGGTTTTCGGAGCCCGTGGGGCATTGCCAAATAGGCCAGGACACCCACCCACTCACCCACCCACCCATGCTTTGTGTCTCTTTACACAAGAGTGTTCCCTTGCCAATGCATCAGATGATGTTGGCTGGGATCCAAGAACGCATGTATGCTAATCAGTTGCTATGGCGTTCAGGCGCTATCCTGGTTTTTCCGGCAGAATACTATCATGGCTACCCCCCACCCTGGAAAGGCTGGCTAATAGCCCTAGACCCAGTTGCTATTAAGAAACAGCTTAAGAGGCGGGGGGCGGGGGTAGACAAAAGCTAGCATTTCTAAAGCAGAAGAGGTCCAGGGTCATCCCTACCACCCTAGCTCTTGAGACAACTCTCACAGGGTTGCTGCAGATGAAAGGAGAGGAAAGGAGAAGAAGCAGGAACGCTATCCTGCCAGCTTTTGGGAAGAGGAAGGGTGGGGCCCAGATGCAATATTACGACTCCTAATAAAAACAGTGACATGCGTGGTTCTCCCTCCTGGGCACTGCGTGATTCAAGCCACCCCTGGCCTTGCTGTTCCTGGAACCCAGGGAGATTTCTCAACACCCCTCCCCCTGCCAATAAATAACTCCTGCATTTGCCCCATGGGACCCCCCGCGAGGCTGATGGGAGGCCGTTGAACTGTGGGACTGGTGGGTCCAAGACATCTGGGCACTCTGTACAGCTCTCTCTCTCCTCCCATCTCTTTGCGCAGGCAGATAAACCCGGGTCCTGTGCCCGCCAACTGCCCGACGGTCTTTGGTAACCTTGGCCCGGCCGGTTCCCACGCTTGGAGCGACCCCCTCCCCGGCTGAGCCATCGGGAATCAGCCATCTCCATAGAAAAGAGGACAAAGGACGCTGCAGGTTGGGGACAAGCCAGACATTCAGAGGAGGGGACAGGAGACAATGAACAAGGACGTGTAACCCTGGAGGGAGAAGGAGGGCCCGAGAAACGAGGCTGAATGAAGGGAGAGGAAGGGGTCTCCGTGTACCACCGAGTCCCACTCTCTGCTCCTTCTTCTCAAAGCAGCCAGAGCAGGGTGGTGGGAAATCCAAGTTCCCTTTTCGCAGCCGTTGCAACAGAGAGCGAAAGAAAGGGCTACTTTTTATGGTTTCGCTGGCCAGATATGAAAAAGGCGGATGATGAAAGCATTGGGGCAGGGGGCAAGGGGATGAAAAAGACTCTGTTGTGAGCCATGATTGCTTCTGCCTTCAGCCCTACAGCTATTTTCAACACTGGAGTCTGAAGCAAAGCAAAATAAAACCCAAAGAATGTGCTATTGAGTGAGCTGCTCCGCCATGGTTGAATAAGGTAAACGGCCATTGGCAGCGTTCATACTACAGGCAAAGCCACAAACCAACCAGCCACATTTGGGTTTGGTGGGAGGCATCCACGTCTCTGTGTACTGAGTAACCCAGCCAAGTCAGGGATTCAAAGCGAGGACTCGCAAGGTACCAGTTGGATTCACACCTCATCTTACATCATGACTTTTTAAACCATGGTTGGTTGAACAAGCCAGAAAGAAAAGATTGTATATTCTTGGTTTATCTTTGTGCCTTGTCCAAGCGTCCTGTTAATCTGCAGAGCTGTAGGTAGGTAGGTAGGTAGGTGAGTGGGAAGGGAAGGGAAGGGAAGGGAAGGGAAGGGAAGGGAAGGGAAGGGAAGGGAAG